CTGCTTTATTATTTTTTTAATATTTTATTTATTATTTTTATTTTATGTGTATGAGTGTATTGCCTGAATGTAGGTAAATGCACCTGTGTGTGCAATGCCCGCAGAGGACAGAATAGGCCATTGGTCCCCTGGAACTGGAGTTTAAGGACAGTTGTTAGCTGCCATGTGGGTGCTGGGATTCGAACCCAGGTCTTCTGCAAAAACAGCCAGTGTTCTTAACCACTGAGCTATCTCTCCAGCCCCTCAACCTTCTTTGTTATACAACACACCTGTGTGTGCAATGCCCGCAGAGGACAGAATAGGCCATTGGTCCCCTGGAACTGGAGTTTAAGGACAGTTGTTAGCTGCCATGTGGGTGCTGGGATTCGAACCCAGGTCTTCTGCAAAAACAGCCAGTGTTCTTAACCACTGAGCTATCTCTCCAGCCCCTCAACCTTCTTTGTTATACAACATAAGCCCACCTGCCCAGGGGTGGCACCACCTATAGTGGCCTGGGCCCTCTCACATCACTCAGTAATCTAGAAGATGCCTCACAGACATGGCCACAGGTCAGTCCAATGGAGAAAATTAGGCTCCCTCTACCCATGTGTGTCAGGTTGACAGTAAAGCTATCCAGCACAATTGAACCCTTGTCAACTTGACACAATCACTATAAAACCATAACCTTTCCATTTCTTGTCCCCAAGATATGATGTTAGCAATATCATAACATAAGACAGTACAACCTTAAAAGTTCCACAGTGGCACATGCCTTTAATCCCAGCACTCAGGAGGCAGAGGCAGGTGGATCTCTGAGTTCAAGGCCAGCCTGGTCTACATAGTGAGTTCCAGGACAGCTGGGGCTGTAGGGAGACCCTGTCTCAAAAAGGCCAAAAAAAAAAAAAAAATCCAAACCCTTAAAAGCCCATAGTTTCTTTTAAAAGTCTCTTAACTGTGGGCTCCTGTAAAATCCAAAACAAGCAGTGTCTTATTTCAAAGGGAAGAATCGGGCAAAACCAAAGTCCAGCAAAGTAGTTCAACGTTGGACATCCGGGATTCACTCACGATCTTCTGGGCTCCAAAGGGTTCTGGCAGCTCCACTGCTCTGACTCTGCCATGCTCAGCACACAGCTCCTCTCACAGACCCAGGCCAGCTCCATTCCACAGCTACTGCGGTCCTTGGTGGTCATCCCATGGTCCTGGCATCTCCGAAAAGCTGGGGTCACCACTGAAACTGGGGCTACACCTTCCCCAATGGCCTCTTCTGGCCTCTTGGGGTGCAAAGCCTCAGATTCTCTCCATGACCCCTTCAATCCTGGGGTCTTTCCTGCAATTGAGGCTGCACTTTCACCTATGGCCTTTCCTGGCCTCTCAGGATACCAAGCCCCAGCTGCTCTGTGTGACCCCTTCACACTTTCAACACCAGAACTATGCAGGAGACTCTTACCATTACCAAGTCCTGCTTCTAGTTTGAGATGGACCCTCAGGCACCCTCTGGATCATAATTTCTGTGTGCTGACCCTGAGGAAATACTTTCCAGAATATTTTGCCACTGATGCTGGTCTCGTTACTTACAGCTGATTTTTTAGCCCCAGTTAACCAGTGTCAATTGTCCCAGTAAAGCAAAGGTTTCACTTCAGTGGGTCTGGTCTCTTAACCACAGCCGATTCTTCAGCCCCAGCCAGCCAGAACCCACAGATTCCCAATTCAGGGTATCACACAAATAGCCCTGATAGCCTCTGCTTCCCTTTGAAGCTTCACAAGTCAGACCACAACTTTTTCAGCATAACTGTTCCAAGCTCTACAAGCCACAAACTAAGCACTCAATGACTTTTCCTGTCCAAAGTTCCAAACACTTCCACAATCCTCCCAAAAAACATCAAGGGCAGGTCTATCACAGCAATACCCAACAATCCTGGTACCAATTTCTGTTCTAGCTATCCTTCAATTGCAGTGACAAAACACTCTGACCAAAAACAACTTAAGGAGGAAAGGGTTTATTCAGCTTACATCTCCCGGGTCACAGTTCATCTCTGAGGGAGCCCAAGGTTAGGAACTCAGGGCAGGAACCTGGAGGAACACTGCTTACTGGCTTGCTCCCCTGGCCCCTGCTCAGCCTCTGCTTTCTTATACAACACAGGCCCACCTGCCCAGGGGTGGCAGCACCCACAGTGGGCTGGGTCTTCCCACATCACAACAATCAAGAAGATGCCCCACAGACATGGCCACAGGGTAGTTCGATGGAGGCAATTCACCAATTGAGGCTCCCTCAACCCAGGTGTGTCAGGTTGACAGCTAAAGCATCCAGCACACAGACCAAAGTCCAACTTGGTGAACCAGTGAGTTTTGTTGGGGTCACTTACAGGAGAGTGGGTGAGGGGTTACTTGTAGGAGCAGAAAAGACTCAAAGACAGCAGCAACACCAAAGGCCACCCAGCATGGGTGACAGCTCAGTAAAGCAGGAAACCTGGAGTGCACTACACCACCTGCAGGCCGCTCACCACGCTACAGTGTCCTTTCTGGCAGCGCCACTGATCTGCTGCTTCTAGGAAGCTTGGCTGATATGGGAATGTCTTTCTGGGCAGTCCTGAGGGCTTATATATGCTTGAGGAGGGAGGGGCCTAGTGAGCCCAGTCAGTTTCAGGGATTTCCTGAAGCTATTGAGCTGTTTGCTTCTGAAAGGAGCTTCTCTGCAGGATTGAGTGTCTCACTTCCCCTCGAAACAGTGGTCCACCAGAATGGCTCTCCTGACCATGTGGAGAATGCTGGGTGGGGCCTGCCCTCCCTGGGCACTGATGTGGTTGGTGGCAGGAGGACACCATGTGGAAGGCTGGGATATTAGAGGGCCTCAGGGGCCCCATGGGCTCCTGGCAGCCATGAGGAGAGGCACCCACGAGAAGCTGGTCTTGGGAAGGGTGGTGGATTCCTGGCTTCCTCCTCGCAGAAATCGTGCTAATGTTCTCAGTTTCCTTCCATTACTATGATCATACTTTTGATGGATGAGGACACAAAGCCCAGAGAGGTAAGTGACTCCATGCAGTTTCCCCAACACAAGATGATGGAGCCAGGGTTTGGGCTGGGGGCAAGCCGGCCTGCAGACCCAGGCCCTGGGCTCTGTTCATTGTGAGTGCCCACAGCCATGGTCTCCTTAGACACCCGTGCTCCCCTGTGCACACTCCAGAGAGGACTGACACGAGGCCCTCGCCTGAATGAAACCCGAAGCTGGAGCAGTCAGATGAAACATCAGCCAGCTACGGATTCCTCTGCGGAGAAGGGCTGGGGAGCCTCTCCTCCCTCGGGCCAAGAGACCAGAGGTGCCCTGCCAGCACAGCATTATCCCAACTCCTCACTCAGCAGCATCACTCCCCCCAGTGTCCCTCCCTCCATCCTCACCAGCACCATGACTCCCGAAGCATCACACTTCCCTCATCTCTGCCTCCCACGCCAGCCCCACCCGGTCTCTCAGGGCACCACCTCTACCGCCTTCACCAGGACCACCACCACCACCAAGCTGTTCGCCACCGATACTCTAGCTGCCACGAGATTGTTATTGCACCCTGGCTTCCGTCCTCTTCCGTCTACCAGGCATGTTTTCCTGCCCTCCTACCTCCCTTGGGGTCAGCGTGCCAGCCACCCTCTCCCACTCCCGTCACCATCTCAACCATGAACAGAAGAACATTTATTGAGCACCAACAGCCCCAGACTCTAACACAGCACAGAAGACCCACCCCAGCCAGGGCCACAGCTGAACCCCAAACCCCAGGTATGTACAAGCCAGGGCTGGGGCATGGCTGTGTTGTTCCTGGGTGAGGGGCTGAGGCCCCAGCCAGGTTCTAATTGGGAGTATGAGTCCTGCTGTGCCATTTTCCTGAGAGCAGAGCAATAAATAACACAGAATGGGGGCAGAGGCCTGAGCCCTGTGGGTGGATGGGCCCTGCTTTGGCTTAGGTAACTCCATGGGAGTGAGACAGTGGCATCAGCTCCATCCCAGGGCGTAGTAGAGGTGGGAGCAAAAGCCTGGGACCAGAGGGTCTTGGGGCCTCCCCAAGTCTCCACGGGCCCTCACCTCTGGGGACACAGGAGGATGGCTGAAATGTGGGTGGACACAGTGGGGGTGGGGCCGAGACTGAGCTGCAGCCCTGCCCTGCCATAGCCCCTAGAGTGGGGCATCCTCGGTCCTCCACTTGGGGCCGTGACTCTGCTGGTGGCTGTCGCAGCTGGCGTTCCCTAGGTTGTCCAGTGGCACCACCACATCGTCTGGGCTTGAGCTCTTGTTCAGCTCCACCACACGGGGCACAACTGAGGACCAGCGATCTAGACAGTGAGTACAGAAGGGGAGAGTTAATGAACAGCTTGTGCACACATTGAGCACCACTGTGTACTGGGCACTCCAGTTATCTATTGGGAGAGCGATTCCTATGCTCATTTTACACAGGTGAAAATGGGCTGAGAGGTTAAGATGTCTGCCCAGGAGCACAGCAGTATAGGGAGGAACAAGGATTCAAGCCTGGGGGGCCATGTCCTCTACCTTAGCCTCTCTCTCACCTTCAAGGTTCAGTTAAAAAAAAAAAAAAAAACGGGAAGGACAGGAGAAACGGCTCAGCCGTTAAAAGCACTGACTGCTCTTGCAGAGGACCTGGGTTTGATTCCAGCACCCACATGGTGGCTAACAACCATCCATAACTCCAGTTCCAGGGGAATCCAATGCCTTCTTCTGACCTCCGCGGGCATTGCACAACACGGGTGCACTTACACACATGCAGGCAATACACTCATTCACATAAAAGAAAAATAATAAAAAAGCCAGGCATGGTGGCACATGCCTTTAATCCCATCACTCGGAAGGCAGAGGCAGGCGGATCTCTGTGAGTTCAAGGTCAGCCTGGTCTACATAGTGAGTTCAGGACAGCTGGGGCTACAGGGAGACCCTGTCTCAAAAAGACCAAAATAGTAATAATAATAATAATTTTTTTAAAACCAGAAAGGGGGCTAGAGAGATGGCCCAGCATTTAAGAGTACTGGTTGTTTTTGCAGAGGATGTGGGTTCGGTTTCCAGCACCTACATGGGGCTAACAACCATCTGTAACTCCATCCAGTTCCAGGAGACCTGAAGCCCTCTTCTGACCTCCACAGACAATGAACACACATGGTACATTTAACATGCAGGGAAAACACTCATACACATAAAACTAAATAAAATATAAAAAATTAGAAAGGACTTATTCCTCATGGGGCTGCCCAAGGATCTCTTCTGCCTCCCCCAGGCCCCCAGGAACACATACTCCCCACAGCCATATTGCTTCATGGAGTAGGGATGGGTGGGATGAAGCCACAAAGGTAGGTGCCCCTGGCACTCACACCCCAGGCACGCACAAGCAGAAGGAACCCACTGGTGGCTGGTCCCACCTTCCCATTCTGCAAATGTGGACAGTAAGTCCCAGGCAGGATTGCTCAGAGGCTAGTGACAGGGCCGGCCTGAGCCCCGCTAGCAGCACTGCACTCACCCCTCCGCAGGCGGCCCACGGTGTGTGAGAAGCCGTAGTACTGGTAGGTCTCGCTCTTCCCCGGGTCCTCATTGATGATGCCCAAGTTCTGATTCCAGTGAGACCAGTTCACCTCGTCCACCCTGGTGAGACCAAAGCAGAGGTCTGGGGGAGCCACACAGAGAGCACTTCCCCCTCCCCACCCCAGGTTCCCTCCCTGCCCCAGCATACCCTTCTTCTATTTTCCTGTTTCCATAAAACAGACACAACATAATTTGCCTACAATCACATTCAAGTACACAGACTGCTGACATTAGAGGCATTCATGATGTCGGACAGCTACCCTATTGTTAGCTCAAAATTCCTCTGTCCTCATTAACAACAGCTCCCCACTTCTCCCCAGCTCCTGTAGACTTTGTATGGATTTACCTCTGCTGCACATGTTCTATAAATGGAATCACGTGATATGTGGCCCTTTGTGACTGGCTTCTTTCATTTAACATATATTTAAGGTTCATACATGCTGTAACAGGAAGTAGAACGTCATTCCTTTTTTAATTAATTAATTTGGTCTTTTTGAGACAGGGTCTCCCTATAGTCCCAGCAGGCCCGGAACTCGCTATGTAAACCAAGCTGGTCTCGATCTCTCAGAGATCTGCCTGCCTCTGCCTCCTGAGCACTGGGATTAAAGGTGTGAGCCACCCAATGGCCAAATAATATTTCAATATATGGATATATCACACTTTATCCATTCACTCCTTGGTGGGCACAGTCCTTGATATGATTTCCTCTTTTTATTAGGACATTGGTAAAGTCCAGTGATGGCCTCTTGGGCCAAATTGGTCCAATATAATAATTTGTTTGTAAAATTATTTTTTGTTATTTTTCATACAACCTCTATTTACTGAGAAATTGCTATATGCCAGGGCTCAGCAGGGGGGATATATTTGCTGTTGCCATTTTACACAGGGATCCAAGGCTTCTGGGGCTATTTTTCCAAGGTTACAAAACTGGTGAGCTAGAGTTGGGACCTGAACTCTGAATTTGGATGAAGCAGAACTGGGAGCTGGCTTAGGAGGCAGCACTGTTACCATCCAAATTCCACAGATGTGGAAACTGATAGGCCCGACTCACGGGGCCACACTATGCTCTGTGCTGGTTGGTGATTCCTCAACAGAAAAATGAGTTCCCTTCCAACAAAGCAGGAAGGGAGAATCCAGACCGAGAAGCACTCTTAGATGGACTGGGGGGTCCCGAGCCTCAGAAACTGCTGCCCACTTTCCCCATCTCAGCCACAGCATTGAACCCCATGCACAGGTGGTAGACAGAGTGATGTGCTGAAATAAGCCCCTGCCTTCCAGATCTCTGCTGTCCCCAGTAAGGGCCAAGGAGCTTGCGGTTACCCCAACATGTACCAACCTGTCTCAGCTGCCCCAGGAGATGTGGCATCATTGTGTCCATCTCAGAAAGAAACTGAGGCTGTTGGAAGCAAACCAACTTGCCCAATGTGACCCTAACGGACTGAGCGGCCCATCAGAGCCTCAAGTGGACACAGCCAGAGCTCCATCCTCCCCAGAGCCTCATCCTCCCGGGAGTCTGGTCCTCCGGGGCAGTTGGGTTCTGCTGGCCCTAGCCTCACCTAAAGCACCACCTGCGGTCTGGAGTGCCATCCGAGCTCTTGCCCACAGTCACCATCTCTCCAGAGCGGAAGGCCTTCCTCAGGAACACAGGGAAGGAGCGTTCTATGTCCAGGATGGTGGTGGCCCACTGCAGGAGGGAAGGATTAGGCACAATGGTCACCCTCCACAGTTGGCACCTGGCTCACAGGAACCAGGAGTTAAATAAGCCTTTTGTTTTGTTTTGTTTTGTTTTCCTGTAGTGCCAGCTGGCCTGGAACTTGCTATGTAGACCAGGCTGGCCTCAAACTCACAGAGATCTACCTGCCTCTGCCTCTGCCTCCCAAGTGCTGGGATTAAAGGTGTGCACCACCATGACCTACCTGGTTCTAAACTTCAGTTCTCTGTGAATGGCAGAAGTTAGGTGGCCAGAGAACTAGACCCAGATGCCTCCTGCCTAGAACAGGCTTTACAAACCCAGTTTACTAGGGAGGCCAGCAGAAGACCAACAGAACAAAGCAGACCCAGGGGCAGAACAGCCAAGGCCAGGCCCAGGTCACACACATGGCAGTGGCCACTCCGTGTAGGGACCACTGGGGCTGGGAGTGAGCAGAGCACAGAGCAGCCACACTGGTGGGGCCGAGCCTCTTACCCACCCAGGGCTGCCAGGCCAGTAGCTGGGCTGTCATACCATCTCTCAACTTCTCACACAAGGCCAGAGTCTAGGCATTTTTTAAAAGGTGGGGGGATCTCTAGGGCTAGAGAGATTACTCAGCAGTTAAGAGGACTTGCTGCTCCTGCAGGGGACTCAGGTTCAGTTCCTAGCACCCACATCAAGCAGCTCATAGCTAGCTGCCTTAACTCTAGTTCCAGGGGATCTGATGCCCTCTTCTGGCCTCAGTGGACACTGGATACACATGGTATGTATACATATACCCAGGTATATACATATTCATAACATAAATCTTTTTTTGAATTTTTTAACTTTTTATATATTGATTTAATGTATGCCAGTGTTTTGCCTGCCTGTATGTAAGTGCACCCATATCATGAAATGCCCACGGAGGCAGAAGAGGGCATCAGATCCCCCAGAACTGGAGTTACAGATAGTTGTTAGCCATCATATGGGTGCTGGGAACCGAATTCAAGTCTTCTGCAAGAACAGCCAGTGCTCTTAACTGCTGAGCCATCTCTCCAGCCCCCATAAATCCTTTTTTTTTAGGGAACCTTTTCACTTTTACATACCTCATTTTCAAAATGGGGTGTTCTGAGGAAACTGAGACTTGGGGAGGTGAGCAGTGTGGAAAAGCTAGTCTTGGGGTGATCTTGGGTTTGTTGTTCACTGTGAAGGTTCAGGTTTATGGATGTACCTGGACCAGGAGTCTGTCTCTCTGCTTTCAGTAATTGGTAAGAACCCCTTTGGGAAAACGAGACAGCAACTCCCATGCCATGGGCTCCTCTGTCACTGAGCAAACTCCAACAGTGGGCAGGCCACACCCCTGAGCCGACACAAGTCCCCAGGAGAATGCTGATGCATCCAAGGGGAGCTCATACCCCCGATATGTGTGTGTGTGATGCATGTATGGGTGGTTTGTGTGTATGATGCATGTATGTGTGTGATGTGTGTGGCATGTGTGCATGTTCCTGTGTGTATGATGTGTGTGTGGTGTGTGTGTTCGTGTGTGTGAATGTAGGCACACTCATGCCTTGGTGTGTCCAGGGCAAAGGACAGCCTCAGCATCAGTTCTTGTCTTCTGCCTTGTCTGAGACAGGGTCTCTTTGCCGTTCCCTGTTGCACACACAGGCTAGCTGGCTGTCTTTCAGGGCTCTTCCTGCCTCCGTCTCCCATCTCTTGTAGGAGCTCTGGGGTTACAGAGGCATGCTCCCGTGCTAGGCTTTACATGGGCTCTGGAGAGCTGAACTCGGGTCCTTGCTCCTGTGCAGTAAGCACTTCACCCAGGGAGCCATCTCTTCAGGCCAAATACTCACTTTTGAATCAAGCTGCAGGCAGAGGCTCGGCATGGAATCCCTATTAAAACACCCCTGCTTTCTGCTGCGGTTTGAATATGCCCCTGAAATGTGCCTAAGTTCCTACGTTTATAGTGTGAAGTGGGGCATGCAGTGCGATGAGCAGCTAGTGTTAGATGAGGCCTGTGGATGGAGCCCTTATGAGCATTATCAGAAGAGAGACTGCAGCTAACATGCCTGCTCCATCTAGCTGTGCAAACTGCCCACCATGTCAGAATGCGGCAAGAAAGCCCTCAGTAGATAGAGCGCTTTCCAGCCTCCGAAGTAGTGAGCCAAGTGAACCTCTGTTCCTTTAAATGACTCTGCTTCAGGGGTTTTGTTATAGTGACTGAAAAAGGAGGAAGACTCTGTGCATGCTCTGTGCTGACAGGGGTCAAGTAATCATTCTGGATGGAGTCAACAGGGTCCGCTGAGCTGGACTACACATGACACCGAAAGAATCAGAAAGAAAGCAAACGAGGCAACTCAGAATCAATGGCAGCAGCTTCACCCGTCCGTGGCGTGCATGGCAAGCGGAGGAAGGCAACCCTGCCCAGCCTCACCTGCAGCTTCCAGATGTGCTTGCTCTCCTTGGAGACCTGGCCCACGGTCTCGCCCATGAGGGCGATGAGCATGTTAAGCAACAGCACAAAGGTCAGGATGATGTAGGTGACTAGCAGGAGGATGAAGACCACGGGGTACTTGGCACTGCTCAGCATCTCCAGGTCGCCCATGCCGATGGTGAGCTTGAAGAGGTCCAGCAGGAAGGTACTGAAGGTGTCGCTGTCTCGGCACGCTGGGTACGTGGGAACTGAGCAGTTGGTCTGGTCCTCATCACATACCTTCATGTTAGTGCATGGGTTCAGGAGGGTGACCAGGGCTACGGAAGCGGGAGGAAGGGAGCTTCAGTGAGTGTGCAGACACAGGCTGAGAGGTGGCATTCCGTGGGGGGAAGGTAGTATTCCATGGGGGGAAGGACAACCAGAGGCTGGGGCAGGGGAGAGAGCTGGCCTCAAGTTCCCCAGCAGGAAGCCAGGGTCTCAGGACTCCAGAGGCCTCTGCTCTCCTCCCACATTCACTGAGAAGTTAAGCATTTTCAGAATGGAGCCTGGTACTGCCGACTCAGGGCCAGTTTCTCCCAGGGGACAGGTGGCAATTTCTGGAGACAGAATTGGAGGTTACAACTGTCTGACGGGTGCATTGGCATCTATTGAATGGAGTTGGGGATGCCACTACTTCCGACAGTACTCAGGACAGCCCACACAGCAAGCGTAGCCTGGGCCCTACATCCCATAAGTCCTAACGCAGCCTGTCACTCACAGAAGGCTTTGGAACACTCCTAGGGGCAGACTCCACCCGGGCTCCTTCCTGCCCCGGGGAGGAAGCAGAAGACTGAGACACCCATCCTGCCAGGTCCGGGGCCATGTTCTATAAGGGCCTCATGCCTCAGACATCCCAAACTGATCTTGGCATAGTCTTTCTCCATTAGGTCCAGAGCCACCAGCTGTCCCTAAGCCAACCAGGGCAGGGAGTGTGAGGAGGATGAGCCTCTGCAGCCAGCAGCGTGGAGGATGTCACACTGGCCTTTGACCAGAGCGCATGCATGCTTCAGTTCACACCAATGCCATCGAATTGTATAGTGCATGCTATGAGTTTGTGGAGAAGGATTCTGAAGCCAGCTCTAGGTGCATCAGAGGAATAATTCTGTGACCCATTAGCAATGTCTGCTACAGGCACAAAACTGAGTAACAAGCAGGCATGCTGTTCATATTAAATCAGACCTGTGCTGGATAGCTTTAGTGTCAACTTGACACACCTGGGTTGAGGGAGTCTTAGGTGGGGAATTGCCTCTATTGGACTGGCCTGTGGCCATGTCTGAGGAGCATCTTCTTGATGAGTGATGTGGGAGGGCCCAGCCCACTGTGGGTGGTGCCACCTCTGGGCAGGTGGCCTATGTTGTATAATAAAGCAAGCTGAGCAGGGGCCAGGGGAGCAAGTCAGTAAGCAGCGTTCCTC